AGCGAATTATTGAAATAAAATTAAAACCATATGTTAGTACCGACATGACCTAGTTTGTGTCGAGTGGACGTTAAACCCCATTTCATTTCATTTCTCTCTCTTTCTTTTAATTTCGAATTTTATGAAAAGTATTTAGTTAGAGGTTTAGCTCCTTTAAACCCATTTGATTTCATTTCCGTAGCACCCTTGTCCTGGCAAAGTTTCTCCACATACCACAACGCATGGTGCATGCCCGTCATCATTGGCCCGGAAACAGGAAGTTAATCCGCATTTCATTTATTTAACATCGTTTTCCGGATGTTTAGCTCGTATATGTGCTGTTAAATGATATTTATGCTTAAATATGTTCCCACATGTCGGACATTGGAATGATACATTTAAATGGTTGGCTTTGATATGTCTGCTAACTCCACTACTATATTTAAACGTTTTTCCACATATATGGCAGGGGTGCATTTTATTCCATGCCTGAAAAATAAAATAAGATAATAAGATTAATATGCAATGAACAGCTACAAACAACAATATACTGTTCAGGGTTAATTGAATACACAAATGAGGCTGCCAGGCAACGAAACATACCCTGCGTTTTCTAATTCTGTAGATAAAACCCCCCAAAAAACACTCTACTGATAAAAACCATAAATTAGTGGGATTTATCTCACTTATATGAGTTAAAGTCCATTTTAAGCAGATCTCATTATATTCTTTGTCGCTAAACCTTTCACAAAACACTGTGATCCTGTGTCACGACAATCAAATCGACAATGAAACACTTCGGGGCCCCATAATTTGACTATTCTGCAGATTGATTAGGAGTACGGTGGTTCACTTTCAGGACGTATTTTGTCTTCTCGTTTGGCGTTTTGTAAATAAAATAAGCAACCATCTTTGTTGCATTATTTAGGAATATAAAACTCTGTATATTGTTATATATTATATATATCGTTGTGTGGCATCGTTAATACATGCATTAACTACAAAGTACAACCGGGGGTCACGCTGGCTCGCGAGCCCGGAGTACGGTTCCCCCTTGTCAATGATGCAGAGCGGAGGGCCTGTCTAGTCATTCGGATGGTACGAAAAACCGAGGTCCCGCGTACACATTGGCGTGCACATAAAAGATCTATTTCCGGCGTGGTTCCCCCTTGTCAGTGATGCAGGACGGAGAGCCTGACAAGGACAGCTGTCTAGTCATTCGGATGGTACGAAAAACCGAGGTCCCGTATACATTGGCGTGCACGTAAAAGATCCCTTGTGAGTTGGAATTCGATATAAGAGTAGGCCGTAGTGCCGCTGTCCGGGCAACATTTTCCTCATAGAACACTGTATGGCGTATGCCCGTCTTTATTAGCCCAGGTCGGAGCAGAACAGTAGGACGTTAAACTCCATTTCATTTCATTTCATTTCACAAAGTACAACCACTAAAAGTTAACCCACACTTACAAATTAAATTAGAAATTTTGGGCTTCACTTTCTGAACGTCTTTTAATTTTTCCACAGACTTCGCGGTGTGTAAATAAAACAGTAGAAAACATTGTCACATTAATTAGGAATAAACATAAAACTTTAGCGAACAGTTTATATGCCGTTCAGTAGCATCGTTAATACAACAATATCGATAAAGTAAAGCATGAGATCAACGTTAACCCACACGTAAAAAAAATAAAAATTCTCAACAACGTTTTCCTTGTCCTACCAGGTCTCTTTCATACCAAAACTACCTGAAGAATCAGGCCCGTAGCTAGCCGGGGGGGGGGGGGGTGCCCTTTCCATTGCACGCAATACGAAGCCAACGACCAACATGCCCATATCAGTGTGGGCGCCCCATAAAGCCGAGTGACATTGGTTGGGCGCCCTCGCCGTTGGCGGTGGGCCATCAGCTGTAGGTACATCGACGTCCCCAGAATCACCATTGGCGCCCCATAAGCACTGTCTCCCCCCCCCCCCCACACACACACACACAACATTCTGGGGTTAGCTACGGGCCTGCGAATGCGGACCAGTAATAAATATCAGATAAAGGTATATAATCCTTATTTGTAACACCTAATTGCAGGAACTAATTTACGTCGATGTAATAACACTATAGACCCAAATTACACAAGAAATGAAACTGAGCAAAGGGCAATAACTCTAAAAGTAATTATCTCACAAATTGTTTAAAACCCATAAACATCTGCGTCACACTAATCTGGAAACTGCACATACATTTTAACTGGGTTTCCATTGCAAAATAATCGAAAAAAGAGAGACATTAACCAGGGCGTTTCGGGACTACGATGGTATATCTTTATTTGAATAATTCGTTAAGGTCTCTAGTAGAGGGGGGGGGGGGGGTGGATGGCTGAATGGTTAGCGTGCGCGCGCTGTATCATAAAGTCTGTCATTGAGTCGACTGGCGTGGTTTCGAATCCCCGGTTGTACGTGGCAAGGAGTAGGGTCGTCTGTCCAACCTCATGGGTTTTCTCCGGGTCCTCCGGTTTCCTCCCAATGCTAAAGAACCCTACGCGCAAGCGAATTATGTAAATAAAAATAGACCATATGTTAGTCCCGAAATGACCTAGTTTGTTTTGAGTGGACATTAAACCCCATCTCTCTCTCTCTCTCTCTAGTAGAGGTTTGGCTGACGACCTTATTCATTGTGTACAAGTCTGAGATCGATTAACGTCCTACTTAGATCGAAACAAACACGCAATGGCAGATCTTATAATCTAACGTGGACGCGTAAGACGACTGCCCCATAACCTAAAAAAAAAACCACAACAGAATGTAAATTCTGTCATATTTTTTTCATATATGCATTATGTAAGATTTAGATAAAAGCTGACCGTTCTTACTATAATCATTCAAAAACAGACAATGAAAAAAAAAATGAATATATTTCATTCAGATAACTTTATTCTGAGCGACTAGTTATTTATTATTGTTTATTGTTTATTATTGTAGCAACGGTACTCGGCAATCGAGATTCTATTAGCCAGTTTATCGTTAAATTTTAAAATGTTCTAATCCATTTAAATCTCGGCCATACGACGCCAGAGTTGATTATAGACTTGTCATGTGAAAAAAAGTCTAAATAATAGTTTATAGGCCTATAACAGTTGAAGCCAAAATAAAAACCTTAATTCGGCCCGCATTATAATAATTAATATGATTTTTTTTCTTCGTACACGTTTCAAATGTTCATTCATAGGAATAAAAGTAGGAAAACAAACGTTCTGCACAAACTACACCACCAGAGAAACAGATACACAGTAAGGAGGCTTAACCAAACGATTACTGTGTATCAAAATCATGGTAATGGCACCCAATATATATTTCATTCCCGCAATTCATATTGATTGTCCATTGTGGTTCAGGAAAACAATTATACCGATAGCCATTGATATTTATAATAATAAAGAGACATTATTTAAAAAGACAATTTCTATATCCTAATGATTTAACAGCGTTATTCGTAGCTTATGAGCCACGGCGGCTCGGTGCTATTAGAGGAACTGGGAATGGAGTTTTATGACTTTAAGAAGAACTTTATATTTGTGTGTTATTACAGAATGGATTGGGCACGTGGCTGTAAGAAGAATGGATTAGAAGGACATCGAACTATGGTATCTCTAGGAGAAGATAATGAAGATGTTCCATATTCACCTCTTACGTTTCTTACTCAAGTATTGGGGCATAATGAGACTGGAGATTTTCATTCTGTCAAAATAACTGTATGTCGTGGTTTCCATCCCACGATTATATCATGCAAAGAGTAGGTCTATCTTCCTTACCTCGCTGGTTCTCTGGGTTCATTTCTGTCCCCAACTTACCTCCCCCCCCCCCTCTCTCTCTCTCTCTCCGGATTAAATTAATTTTAAAATTTACTAGAAACAAATTATGTCATATTTCATTTCTGAGTCTGTAGGACTTCCTGAACCAATTACAGAGGAACCATTTCTGATGAAGAATCTGGATCCGACCAAGTCTCCATGGTTACAAAACATATTGTGCTCGATAGCCTGATCTAATGGCAAATATTGCTTATAATTAGTCTGCAGTCAGGCAGCTCTGTATGTTATACATACACATTTTGATATTTAATACTTCAGGACCATCTTTAGTGGGTTTGAAAGATGATAACATAAACTACATCATCTTAAATCATCTATTGCCAATTTACAGATGAAAGTTCAAGATCTTAACAAGAAAACAATTTTTTCTTTTTCTTAAAACAATACTAAAATAATTCCAAACAGTTGAAATATTACTGATGTGTCATAATATGGTTGTAACAAGATTTAAGTGAAACACTTGAATAAAGTCCTTTCTTTATATACTTTCTCATAAACAATCTACATTCCGACCACGATGATTGCATGAACAGAGTTATCATTCTGCAAGACAGCGTATAAAGATCAGACAAGAAGCGGACTTCTAGAGGAAGCTGTTCGAAGTATAAGGGAGGGGATGGTGTTATCCGTTGTTGATCCGTTTGTAAAAGCCCTAGTGGATGAACGACTCGAACCAATCACATGATCCAGTCCAGATGAACTATAGGGTTAGAATCTTGGGAAAGAGTGGCATATGCAAAACCGGAGACAGCAAAGAGAGGGGGGTTTAACGTCCACTCGACACAAACTAGGTCATTTCGGGACTAACACATGGTTCAATTTTTTATTTCAATAATTCGCTTGCGTGTAGCAGTCTTTAGCGGTGGGAGGAGACCGGAGGCCCCGGGGAAAACCCAGAAGGTTGGACAGTCGACCCTACTCCTTGTCACGTACAACCGGGGAATCGAAACCACACCAGTTGACTTAATGACAGACCTTATGATATAGCGCACACGTGCTAACCATTCGGCCATCCAATGGAGGAAGCGAAAGTCGTCATTACATGTATGTCGATCTGGAACATCATCTTAACCCCAAGCCTCTGCTCGTCAAATCTGTTGAAAGAATCTAAGTTGAAATTGAGATGATCGATTATTCTAAAAAAAAACCCAAAGACGCATCAAAGGTGCATCAACGTTTATTGAGAAATATAAGATTAATACTTATTCACAAATAGAAGAGTCATTCTCTTATCATGATAGCCTGGGAAAATATAAACAACTGCCTCCTCTTGAACGAGTTTCTTACATTCCTACCCCCAAATAGTAGATTTAAATATGGAAATAAAAAAAAAACCTTTAAAGATCTAACAAGGGAAATCCACGGCGGAAAAGCCTGAGGAACTTTCTCGGCCAATACCGAGCGCGAACCCGGGACCTCATAATTTTGAAGAATGAAATTCCTTAAATGAGTTGCCTAAGAGAATATGACGATCATGTTTTGAGCTAGCAAACTATTGTCTCAATAGTTATTGTGTAAGAAAATCAGACGCGAATTAAGTGGGGTGGCGGGGGGGGGGGGGCAATATTCTATATGGCTCTGACTATGGTTGATTCTTTTGGTGTTGGTGTCGACTCTCTCTATATATATGGCTATTAGTAGAATATGCCAGATTCGTTTGATCTGAGTGTCAACACTCTATATGACTCTGGGTAGGGTATGTTAGTTGCATTTGATGTTGGTGTAGATATGGCTCTAAGTAGAAAATGTCAGATTCGTTTGGCCTGGGTGTAAACATTCTATATGACTCTGAGTAGGATATGCTAGATTCATTTGGCCTGGGTGTAAACATTCTATATGACTCTGAGTAGGATATGCTAGATTCATTTGGCCTGGGTGTAAACATTCTATATGACTCTGAGTAGGATATGCTAGATTCATTTGGCCTGGGTGTAAACATTCTATATGACTCTGAGTAGGATATGCTAGATTCATTTGGTCTGGGTGTAAACATTCTATATGACTCTGAGTAGGATATGCAAGATTCGTTTGGCCTGGGTGTAAACATTCTATATGACTCTGAGTAGGATATGCTAGATTCATTTGGTCTGGGCGTTGATTTACCTCCTTTCTTTATATATTTCCAAGTTAGGTAGACTAGATTCATTTGGGGCGGACGTCGACTCTCTCGATATATGGCTCTGAGTAGGTTATGCTAGATTCATTTGGTCTGGGCGTTGATTTACCTCCTTTCTTTATATATTTCCAAGTTAGGTAGACTAGATTCATTTGGGGCGGACGTCGACTCTCTCGATATATGGCTCTGAGTAGGTTATGCTAGATCGTTTAGTCTGGAATTCGACTCTCTCTATATATGGCTCTGAGTAGGATATGCTAGTATCATTTGGCCTATATATGGTTCCGAGCAGGATATGCTAGAATCATTTGATCAGGGCGTTCACTGTATCTCGATATATTGTTCGGAGTAAAATATGCTAGGATCATTTGACCTTGGCATACACTGTCTCTCGATATATTGTTCTGAGTAGGATATGTTAGGTTCAATTTGATCTGGGCGCCGACTCGCTCCCAATATATGGTTCCGGGTAGGATATGTCAGATTCATTTGGTCTCGGTGTAAACTCTATTTATGGTTCTGAGTAGGATATGCTAGATTAATTTGTTCTGCGTGTGGGCGCTTGCCGTGTATGACTAAGTAGGATATATCTAGTTTCATTTCACCTGGGTACTGACTCTCTCTATATATATGACTCTGAGTAGAATATTCTAGTTTTGTTTGGCCTATGTGTGACTCTTTGTAGGATATATCTAGTTTCATTTCACCTGGGTACATGGCTTTGAGTAGGATACGCTAGATTCATTTCATCTGGGTGTCGACGTTGGACGTGAATCTTCAAGTGATGCTTGTGTTTGATTATTTGTGCACAGAATGGACACTGGTAACACTCGTGTAAATGGTCTGATTTAATGTGTCGTTTGACACTCTTTTCATGACTGAACTGTTTTCCACATAGAGGACATGTGGGTACAGGTTTACCTGGCATCTAGAAAAAAAGAAAAGAAGAAATGTTTAAACGTTTCAGATGGTGTGAATCATTTAATTATAAAAAAACTATTTGTTTTATGCTATGTCTAAATATTTCAGATGGTGTGAATCATTTAATTATAAAAAAACTGGTTGTTTTAGGCTATGTTGTGACAGAGTAAAGCGGGCTACAAAAATATTATTGTTATAAAGCTTAATTCGATTAGACTTTGCGTAGTCCAGAGTTAACAACGCGGGGGACCAGATTTTCTTATGGAGAAATTACACTAGGACCTGTGGTGCATGAGTTAAATGATGGGTAGAGTTTATCTCCATATCATGCAATAATCATTACTTGTCATTAAAAACTGCAAATGCAAATTAAGTACCGCCGTTAATTTTCTTGTTTAAAAAATGGGTACTGAAATAACATCAAATGGGGTTTAATGTCCTACTCTTCTGCTCCGTCTAAAATGGCTACTAGAAAAGTTATTTTAGTCCTACAACAAACAAACAAACAAACTTACTACCTCTTTTTTATTAAGATAAATTTTTAATGGTATGTCAATAATAAAGTAGCAAATTGGTAAAATATTATGTTACAAGCAATAAGTCTTTCATCATACTAAATGTTAAGTGTGTATATTAATTTAGAAATCCCACCAGTTTCATCTTCATTACATTCTATATCCTTACTATAAACAATTTAAAACTTCCATACGTTGTTTTGGAGACGTGAATATTCGTAAGATTGTTTTAACTACATGCAACGACTGGTCGTCGTATGTTTTTTTTTAAATATAAATTACGGTTGGTTTAATAAGCAATATGACAGCAGCCAACACCACCTAATAAAGGATGCGTTGCTAAAGAATAATGTCAATGGTAAGATGTGTGCATTGATCGTAACCACCGTTCTGGCCATTCGAGTCTTATGTTCGCTTCTCCATTTTTAAATTAAATTATAAAATCGGAGCCTTGCGATGGCATCGAGAGTTGATTATGGTCTTGCTATGTTAATAAATGTCTAATTTATAATTTATATAACATTTATGGTCCAAAGAAAGACCTGCAATAGGCAGATTCAGCTCTTACATAATAACTGATTATCATAATGTATACATCTATTTTAATTGTTTATGGTCCCCATCAAACTGCTCATTAGCATGTCGACGTCGTATATGAGTCTTCAAATGATGTTTATGCTTCATGGATGTTTCACAAAATGGACACTTAAAACAGACATTTAAATGATCTGATCTGATATGTCGTTTTACGCTAAATGGGTGACTGAATTGTCTTCCACAAATCGGACAAGATGGTCTCCCAGCAACCTACAATAGACAAAAAAATAGTAGTTACAATAATTGTCCAAAATTATGTACATAATATAACAAATAAGACAGTTGCCCGGCAACAAGCTAGACTCCCACAGCAGTTAAATCGTTGTACGAGTTCCAAAAGGTTGTCACATATTTTTAATCTTTAAGTAAATAAAAAGCAAACTGTAGGCCTATGATATCCCCGGAGTGTTGACACGGTTCTGTAGCATAATCAGTGGTATTTTCCAAGGAAATTCCTTGGCATTTTCCAGCCTGGGTTGTAAGTGTTGATTCAATCGAAATATACAAGTTTATTTTTCAGTTTAGTATATCCTTATTAGTTTGAATTCTGTGTAGGGTGAGATGGGGAAGACCAATCTTTTCAGTGCTTAGTACCTTTAAAAGTCTTAATCCGAACCTTAAACGATTGCGTAGAATTATCTCTGTTATAACTACAGGAGCCACGGTGGCTCAGTGAGTTAGACGCTGCCTAGCTAACCAGGTTTCAGGTTCGCTTCCGGTGTTGCCCCAGAAAGTTTCTCGTGATTCTCCTGCGTGGTTTCTCCTTGTCGGTGCTACAGGATGGGGGGGGGGCCAGTGTCATTCGGATGTAACGAGAAACCGATGTCTCGTCTACACGTTGGCGTGAACGCCAAGGAACCCTTGACAGTTGGAATTGGAAATAAGAGTGCGCCGGTGCAGAATTCCCTCATTATTAGCTCGGTGCAGAAACGTTGGACACTAAACCAAAATTACAATTTGCAATAGCAAATACATAACTGATCTTGATAAGTGTAATTAGCAGTAGACCGTGGGCGATGTTTGTTTTTGTTTTGTTCTGAAATATTAAAACTTGTAAAATTTAACGCAAAGAATTATTGGAAGATACAACATGGGCTTTTTTTGCATTTCTTTCGAGAAATAAGAAGCGAAATGTTTAGAATTGTTCCCGAAGAACACAAATCAAATTGCGGTGGCCTTATTAACGACATATTTCAATCTTTGCGTCAGTGTAACATCAATTAGACAGCTCCAGGGGGAAGTCAGTGCAAAAGTTTCGAAAAAGGAAGGGCATAATCACTATTTTTTTTTACATTGCTGGCCCTGTAACATGGGCAACGTGGGATACTGTAGTAAATATTGAAGGTGTGTAAAAACTGTGAAAATAACTTACCACAGCAATTCAAAATCTTTGTTGGAAATGTTTAAAGGACAACCATCCATCACCAGCTAATGAATCTGATAACGGAAACGATACAAACCGGGTGTGTTTGGAGACACGATCCACTAACCAAGACGAGATGTTCCAAAGCAAATGAGAGGAAGAACAAGTATCACGATCTTCGGATATATTGTAGAACAATCTGGTTAAAAAACAGATCTATATTTCGTTTCGTTTTGAGAGGGGTTATGCAAACTGATGCGGGATACTGGTAGGCTTACGCAAAACTAGCCCCAGTGGCTCAGATGTTGCGAAAAAACGTAGGTTCCATGTAAAGTTGGCGTGTACATAAAAGAACGCTTGGAATTGACCAGGGCTCACGCTGTCGGTCTCCAAAGTCGCAATTTGCGATTAAAATTTGAATGTGGAAATAATTTTGGCGATAATGTTTTGGGGTACTGGCGATTCTTTTTTAGAACTGGCGGGAAAAACTCTTAAAATTCTAATTATATATATCCTAGATTGACCATTACATTGAGGTCAATCACGTGGCAGAAAACTACGTGATGACACAAAACATCAGTCAGCTGGACCTCCTGTTTTAACCTCTTTTTATTATGACAAAGGGAGAAAATGACCCGCCCTCTCTTCTCACGACAGCGAATTTATAAGTGTGCTTTAAATTGACTTTTTAATATACAATGACTTTTTATTTTCAACCCATAAAGTCTTATTTAACTTAATTAAATCAACCTGTCCATAATATTGTATTTAATGTACTGGACGTTAAATCTTTAATAAACAACAACAAGTCATTATTTACTCCCAATAATTAATCCAAGCGGTGATTATTTAATGTTTCGTGTCGCCTTGTAAAAATTAATCGAAATAATCAAAATGGCCGACAATTTTTTTCTGATTGAAGAGTAGGCAGAAACGACGCTGTCCCGGCAAGCTTTCCCTCATGGCATACTGATTGGCTTATACCCCATAGAAATATACACCCATTTTCATAAGAATTGTTGGTGCACAAAAGTAGAATGTTAAACCGAATTTCCTTTTATTTGTATTTCAAGTACAGAGGTTTGACCACGAGTGAACATGACATTGGCGAATACAGATATTACATCTTCCGCAACTCCTTGTTTATCAAAATATAATTCTAACACACAAAGATGTAATTTTAGGGATAATTTTTTTTTATGAAATAAACTAAGAGAGAGAGAGATCATTCGGTTAAACATCTTTATAGTGTAGAAAATACCAATCAGAATGTTAATAGAACAGTCAAGAATAAACTATCAGAATGTGAGTCATAACGTCCGAACAATTCATTTTGAGCTGATTTTTTATAGTTCACGAACATAATGATACTCTCACATGGCTTTGTTAAAGTCTTTGTGCATCACTTGCATTTTTCGGAAAATATCCAATTTTCGGAGAATTAATCTACGCTAAAATGTACCCAAATGAATGATTTTTAAATACTAAATCATTTTTTTGTCAATAGTAAATAATCTCCCAGCCCATCAAAAGATCGTTGTTAAGATTGCTGGTGGTGCTGGCTTCTGTCCGATATTCCGTTTATATCATATATGCGCAGCGGATCCCGAATGTCTTTGTAAATACTGAATGGAATTGAACCATGTTTGGAGTGATATTCCTTTTAAAGATTCAACTTTCACAATAAGTTAGTTTACTAAGGATAACGAGAACATGTTTATCATTATAGCACAACCTGCACCTAACAATGTGCCCAGACCACTTTACAGAAAAATAATACAACACTGCCACTAGCTACAAGCACACATACAATACGTAAAACATGGCAAGATGGCCTACCGAAAGTAACCATTAAACATCATTAATGAAAGGCTTGTTGAAGCAGATGAAGTTTTGACTTGGAGTTAGATAACGGTGTTTATTTCAAAGTTTATTGAGTCCTTACAGAAAGGGCTACCATTACTCCCAACAAGTATAAAACCCGCTGAACTGGATTTGACATAGTAAATCTGAAAGATGTGCGGGTGCTAGATCAACCAGTGCCGGTCAAATAACAATAACATTTTGTGACATGTATATATAGTTGAACCAATTATCAATCAAGCTTCATAGTTCTTTGGCCGCATGTACTATCACTGCATTGGCCGAGAAAGTTCATCGGGATTTTCCAGCGTTGATTCCCCTTGTCAGTGGTGCAGGACGAAGGGCCTGAAAAGGCCCTGGATAGTCGTTCGGATGGTACGAAAAACCGAGGTCCCGTGTATCCATTGGTGTGCACATAAGAGATTCCTTGGCAGTTGGAATTCGATACAAGAGTAGGCCATAGCTGCACACTTCTGTGTAGCGTATGCTCGTCTTCGTTAGCCCAGTCGGAGCAGAACAGTACGACGTTAAACCCCATTTCATTTCATAGTTCTGTAGCATTTGGAATTTATGTAGAAACGTCAATGGAACACAATAAAAAACTGCAACTGTCCAACCTAGATGTTATTCATTATTGATAATATTACACACTAACTAAAGAACTGTACT